TAAAGGGGCCACAGATTAAATTTGCAATGGGGCCCATCTATTTCTAGCTACGGCACTGGCTGTGTCTATACTCTATATGACGGGTCTCGAAATCGCTAACATATTTTCTTATGATTTGTGTTCCAACAGATACGGTAGTATTCGACAACAGTTACAGTTTCCTGCGTGGCAAAAAACTTGCATACAACGTCCGAATCACGTTGCCTGTAAAAGAAAAAACCATCAGAACGATCGACCAAATGGTGAATATAGAAGAATAAGTTATATGTACACATACCGTCGGTATAAAAGTATAATATATATTATAGCGCTTAATATAACTTTACTATAGGAAACAATAACAGTAATTGTGATTATATTATATTATAATATACCTACATCATAATATGAACCGTCAGACATTTTAATCAAATTTTATATAATACATTTAACTATACGATTTAAAATTGTTTAGGTATACCTAATGCCTTATACATATTATACCGGATAAATGATTATAAAATATGTAAAAATTGATATTTATTCGTCGTTTTATTGTACGACATAAACAACTTGCGGCAGTTCAACAGTAACATAAGACGGCCAATAGCCGATAAATGATAATTATTAACGATTATTGTTAAAATGTCATTAATTATCTACAATTATTAGTGTCCACACTCGCTACACATTAGACACAACATCTGGAAATCAAAACGGTTATGAATTTTTTAGATATATTTAGGTTTTTTTTTTATTCTAATAGACAATTGCATTTTGGATATAGKCGCAATAAGACGCGTAAAATAACCGATTTTAATTTGTAAATACTTTAATATTTTATCGTACATTAATTTACATGTTTTTATTATAAATGTACTATAGTAATAATATTTTAAAAAATATCAACGATTATGTTTTCTACATTTCCGATATGTTATTATAGTTTTCTCCAGCCGGAAATAATTTAAAAAAATACATTTGTGTTCCCTTGTCAAAATACGTTACCTATACCTATACTACATAGATATGTATAATATTTACAA